ATGAAAACTGGCCGTGAGTCGTCAGAATCTCCCCACTGTGTCCCGCTTGTGTAATCTAACTAACTAGACATCTAGGTTTATTGCTTTGTCTTTTTTATTTGCATTGCTTGCATTCTACCATTCTATATCTAGCAAGAAGACATAAATTTGAAAAAGAAAAAAACAACAAGCTCATGTGAAGGATTTATTCCAATAAGTAATGTTCAAGATTGACAAAAAAATCAAAATATTGGATATGTGGCTTGTATATGGAGATTTTTTCTTTTCTGGAATGAGAAACATAAAATAGTTAACAGTGGATGCCTCTTGGAAATGGAGAATGAAGTGACAGGAGTGGTAAGGGAGAATTTTACTGCCCTTTCATAGTTCTTTGTTTTTTTTTTTAATTAGCAAGTATTACTTTTATTATTTATTTAAAAATTGTTTAAATATTTATTTATGGACTTGGTTTTCATATGTTTTAGAAAGTTTTCTGATAAGAAGGAAAGTAAGAAAAAATGTGGGTGGAGAGACAGTGATGATAATTCTATATGAAACAAACCAAAAACCCGTTGCCATCGAGCTGATTCCAACTCATGGTGACCCTATAGGACAGAGTAGAACTGCCCCATAGGGTTTAGGGAGCGGCTGGTGGATTCCAACTGCCAACATTTTGGTTAGCAGCCATAGCTCTTAACCACTATGCCACCAGGGTTTTCTATATGAACAGGGGTTCTAAAATAACTAGAAAATTTCACTTTATAAACATGTGGGTTAATTTTATATCCCCCTCCTCCTTTTAAATAGCTAGTCCTTATATGTCAAATAAAGAAAAAGTAAATATTTATCTCCCAAAGACTGCATAGTTTTATTTAATGCATTATATTAGTTTTCTCAGAAAGTAATATAAGAATATTATATAGCAATAATAAAATTTAATGTAAGAATATTATATGGAACTAGAGAAAAGTAAAGAATCTACCACTACAAGAGAACAAACACTTTTAGAATATTTGTGACTTTATTTCTATACTATTGTATATATCTATTTGTTGTAAACATAATAGGTGATCAATCCTGAATCTGTTTTTCACTTAGCATTTTCCGTGTTTGTACTATTCTTCATCCCATCATGTCATATAAGCTCACTATAATCTGTTTAATCTCTTATGTTTGTTAGAAAGCTTGCAATTCTTTGTTATTATAAATACCTCTTTATGATGAACATCTTTGTGAATTTTCTCCATATTTAGAATTATTTCCTCCCTGGGATGGATTCCTAGTTTGTTTTAGTCTAGAACGCCCCTGGAACCCGTCCACCATGGGTGATCCTGCTGGTATTTGAACTACCGGTGGCATAGCTTCCAGCATCATATCAACATGCAAGCCACCAGAGTACAACAAACTGACAGAATGAACAAATCTGTCTTGGAAGGAGTACAGCCAGAATGCTCCTAATAATCAAGGATGGCAAGACCTTGTCTCACTTACTTTGAACATGTTATCAGGAGGGACTAATCCCTGGAGAAGCACATCATGCTTCATAAAGTAGAGGGTCAGTGAAAAAAAGGAAGACCCTTAACAAAATGGATTGACACAGTGGCTGCAACAATGGGCTCAAACGTATCTACTATTGTGAGGATGGCACAGGACAAAGCAATGTTTCATTCTGTTATACACAGGGTTGCTATGAGTCAGAACTGTCTCAATGGCACCCAGTAACAACAACAGGATAGATTCCCAGAAGTGAATGTCCTGAATATGACCATTTTTATGGCCCTTGGCACATTATGATACACTTAATGGTCCTTGACCTAGTTAAGGAGTCCCCGAGAGGTACAAATAGTTAACACACTCCTCAGAAGAAAGGCCTGATGATCTACGTCTGAAAAATCAGCCAGTGAAAACCCTACGGAGCACAGTTCTACTCTGACACACATGGGGGTCACCATGAGTTGGAAGTGACTCAACAGCCACTGGCTTCTGGTGGACTTAGGGTGACGTTTAAGGACCCCTCAGCCCAGAGATGCCTGTGCCTCTATAAAAGGGACAATTTACCCTTTCAGTGATCCCTATTTCAAAAAATATTGGCTATATTTTGCATCCCTTCAATTTTGTGACAAGTCATGAAGAAATGTGAAGTACTAGTTTGATAAAGTATTTTTTTATTAAATATTTTATACATTTATAATTAGGAAATTCAGTATTATCAATTGAGCTCTGTAACCAAGAACCAGTGAAGTTCAAAGCTACTGCACTGGTTCAGAAAACATCCACGTCTCAAATGTCCTAGTGCAGTATGTCCTAAACTTCAGGCCTTCACATGCTTCTTTCACAATTTTTGCCATATCTGCATATTACCTGTAACATTATTTTAATATGTTCCTTCAAATCAACAGTAAATTGGCCCAATTTTCTTCTTAACATTTTCCTAAGCCATAATATCCATAAAACAATAGATTTCATAGAAGAATTACATTTTTAAATTCACGTTAAAATAAACATAATTCAAAGTTCAAAGTTCGGACTTGCGCCACCTAAAATTAGTGATATGTGTATCATAAAACCAAAACAGAAAACAAACCCATTGCCATTAAGTCGATTTTGACTCATGGTGACGCCCTGTGACAGAGTAGAACTGCTCCATAGGGTTTTCTTGGCTGTAATCTTTATGGAAGCAGATCACCAGGCCTTTCTTCTGCAGCACTACTAGGTGGGTTCAAACTGGTAATCTTTAGATTAGCAGCCCATCACAAACTGTTTGCATTTGGGAAAATTGTGTTAATGTGTAAGTGATATATAAACTATGATCATCTCTTTCTATTCTTCAGATATAGAAGAATAATAGTACCTGATAATATTCTTACTTTTAAATCTGTCTCTCCCACAGAACATTATAAACAAAGTAAATCACAGCACCCTGCAAAGTGATGTCACTGTCAATAACAAGAAAGAAAGACTTCTCCACTAGACAGGCAACAAATACACTAAAAAAATATGGAACACGTTTACACCAAAAGTTTGAGTCCACATTCTTGTAAGAATTCTTCAACCCATAGCTGCTTAAAATTTGAGGAAAGAAAAGCATTTACAATGAACATTTTATGGCTGGAAGCCATCATTCTCTGAAATAGATTAAGGGACATTAAAAGCAGTGCATGTGCTGTGTTCAGGGTAAAGGAGTCAACGGAATCCTTTTGGAATGTCAAGGAGCCACGGAATTCCAGAAATATCTTGGAAATTTACATTTATTCTTAAGGAAAGTTTAAGATTCTAAACCCAAACCTAAATCACACAGCACTTACTTTTAGAGTTAGGGAGTATTTTTACAGCTTAAATATTAGGCATGCTCATCACACAGTATTATTTTATATGAGATTTTATAACATCTATCTTGACTTACATGTGGCTTTTTTTAAAGATACTTAAATATTTGATTTGAATATTTAAATACGTTTTCAGAAAATTTAAATTAGAAAGTAGCTCCCCAATCATTCCAGAGGAGGATACTGTAAAATTCTGGTGTCTTCTTGGGGGAAGAACTTGGAGGATTCATGTCAGATTAAAAAAAATCTCTGATGTGAGGAGGGGAGAGGAAAGAAAGTAAATTATTTCTAGGATAATTTTAAATGTTTTGTTTCCCTTAAGGCCACAGGCTGATGGAGTTGGGAAGGAGAAGGTGGGAAGACAGATGTGAGTTATTTTAGTCAGCGGACATAAAAGGCTTGAATTGGCATTTGTTTAGGTCTAGGGTTAAGGGCTTGGCTGCTGACCGAAAGGTTGGAAGTTTGAACCCACCCAGAGGCTCCACAGGAGAAAGACCTGGTGATCTGCTTCCATAAAGACTGTAGCCTAGAAAACCCTATGGGGCAGTTCTACTCTGTCACATGGGGTCCTTATGAGTCAAAATTGACTCAATGTCACCTAACAACAACAAAAATAATTTACACCCACGCCTACCCAAAGCGACATACAACGTAAAAAAAAACCTACTGCCTTTGAGTCAATTCCTCACAGAGACCGTATAGGACAGAGTAGAACCGCCCCCATAGAGTTTCCAAGGAGTGCCTGGTGGATTCGAACTGTGGACCTTTTGGTTAGCAGCTGTAGCTCTTAACCACTATGCCTCCAGGGTTTCTACACACAACATACAGATATGCAATTTGCTGACACCACCAGAGTTGGGGGCACACAGATTCTGTGGTACAATTCCAATCAATTCCGACTCATAGCGACCCTACAGGACAGAGTAGAACTGCCGCATAGGGTTTCCAAGGAGCACCTGGTGGATTTGAACTGCTGACCTTTTGGTTAGCAGCCATAGCTCTTAATCACTGCACCACCAGGGCTCATTCCAAACAATTTTAATTTTTTTAATTTATGGTGTTCCAAAGTAATGTAGAGCCTTAATTTCAAATGCTAAAATTTCTTAATGAAAGAAAACACAAAGTTTACTTTTTCTAGATGTTTTCTCTTTTCGCAATGCTTCTCTCCACACCCAGCATTCCTATCAGTTCTTCCCATATACGAATAGTAAATTGTGGAGCCTTATCTATCAGTTTCCTGGCATAACTACTGATACCATCATAAAAGTGATCGTATCTATTACATCATCTCTTTTTCTCCAGGCAAAAAGTCCCAGTGTTAATTGTCAAATAAGGAATCCCAATTCCTTTAATGCTTTCATTAAACGTTTCCGTTTACGACAAATAAGGCCAGGTGTTCACTAGCAGGTCTAGCAAACTCTGTGACATAATGATTTTGTTATGAAAACTATATAAATGTGGTTTATTTTCTCCTCTTCATAATAACTGAAGGTTACTACTCTAGTCCTCCCTGTCCCATGCTCTTTCCGTAGTTTTTACAAGTGCAAATATTCTTAAACCTGTAAAGTTATTTAAATGTGCAAAAGGTCGACATTTATACAGTGATCTACAATTTAAGAAAATAGTTCCTTATACATTACGCCATTTTTTGTACCCAAATCCACTGAGTTGTGACATTTAAAGGCTGATACTTACGTTTTCCGGAGGAAGGGGAAGAATGCTCTAAGACCGGCAAATTTAATTCTAAAAAAAAAGTTAACTCTGGCACAGCCTTCCTGAAATATACTGTTTCTCATAAACAGCCAAGGTTTCAGGAAGTAGGAATTTGAAAGAAAACAAAGCCATCACTGTCTCAGAATGTGATTGTGTAACTCAACTCCGGGACTTTCAGCAGTTTTGCACTGTAAGACACACCCCTTTACGAACTGCTTCGTTGAAAGGTGTTCTGGGAGTTGTATTACTAGAGAAAAGTTCCTTCTCCTAATGAAGTGCAAGAAAACTTACTTGGACTAAGTCAGAACAGAGTCCCTGAGAGCCAAGCGAAGAGAATGTCAGTAAGAAACAATGAACATGGCTAAGCTCTACGTTACCAAAAGACAAACTCCTGGCAGGGCTCCATTCAGTGCCCTATCTATGTTAGGAGTAGAGTGCAGAAGCGAGCTTGTTGTCACAAGAATATGCATCTTACCTCATTATACGATGGATAAGGAGCCCTGGTGGGGCAGTGGTTAAAGCACTTGGCTGCTAACGGAAAGGTCCGCAGTTCGAATCCACCAGCCACTCTGGAAGAAGAATGTGGCAGTTTGATTCTGAAAAGATTAAACCAAAACCAGACCCAACCTGTGGCGTCAATTCCGACTCATACCGATCCTATACAGCCTTGGAAATCCTGTGGGGCAGTTCTACCCTGTCCTATAGGGTCCTAGGAGTTGGAATCCACTCGAGGGGAAGGGGTTTGGTTTTTTGTTTTGTTTTAGAAAGAGCACTGATCTGTAAGATTGATCACCAATCTATAAGATTGGTTTATAGACCAAAATTTAAACTGGGGAGGGATTAAAGTGGTGGATGGATTCGAAGGCAAGACTGGAGTCAGGAAAATAAGTTAGAAGGCTACTGCAATATTCTAGAGAGAGATAATGACTGGGCACAATTAATGAGAGTAATGGTGGAAATAAAAAGGGAAAGAAGTATTTATGAGAAAGATTAACAGGACTGGGTAGGAGACATAGAAATACATAGGGGTAATTGACTTAGAGGCAGTAAAAAAGACATTGCTGCTGTTGTTAAGCTGCCATGGAGTAGGCACTCCACTCATGGTGACCCTATTCATAACTGGATCAGACTGGTGTGGTCCACAGAGTTTTCACTGGCTAATTTTTGAGAAGTAAATTGCCAGAACTTTCTTCCTAGTCCTTCTTAGTCTGGAAGCTCTGCTGAAACCTGTTCAGCATCATAGCAGCACACAAGCCTCCACTGAGAGAGAGGTGGTAGCTACAAATGAGGTGCATCATTAGCTGGGAATTGAACCTGGGTCTCCATATGGAAGGCGAGAAGTCTACCACTGAACCACCAATGCCCCTTCAAAAACCCAAAACCATAACTGTAGTTAAAGGTTGCCAAGGGAGAATGTACAGGATAAAAATCTATAAGACTCTGTATAAGCAGGAAGGAGAGGGGCCAATTTGGGGGTAAGTATTATATCTAACAGAGCACTGGTGGCACAGTGATTAAGAGCTTGGCTGTTAACCAAAAGGTCAGTGGTTGAAATCTACCAGCAGCTCCTTGGAAACCCTACGGGGCAGTTCTACTCTGTTCTATAGGGTTGCTATGAGTCAGAATCGACTTGATGGCAACAAGTTTGGGATTTTTTGGTATGGATTGAATTGAGTCCCACAAAAATACATGCAGTAAATCCTAACCCCTATACCTGTGGATGTAATCCCACTTGGGAAAAGAGTTTTCTTTGTTATGTTAATGAAGCATATCAGTGCAGGGTGTGTTTTAAACCAATCATTTTTGAGATATTGAAACAGGCTGTGTGGGAATTTCACATTTATTGTCAGCTGTGTAGGCCTTTAGTGTCCTGGGTATTATGGTATTGTTAATGCATAGCTTGCATAGTTCACTTCTGCATGCTCCTATGATTCTGATTTATTTTCCTTCTCTCTTCCCTCCTGTTTTCCCATGATTTTATAAAAGCTTAAAAAAATAACCTAAGTTCCTCTTGAGGAGGTAGAACAACAAGTGATAAAATCTGAAGGCAAGATGACTGAACAAAGGACCGTCTTGTGAGTGAAACCAGGATGGTGTCAGAGTATCTTCAAGAATACCCGCAGAAGGTCAGCATGCCTGGAACGAGGCCACTGTACCCACCTCAAAGGGGAACTAACATTCTCCGAATTCCTCTGACCGTGACCCTGTCCCGATAAAATCCTCTGATTGGTCTCCAGAGGGGGAGGCAGATTTTGGAGGAGCTCATCCTCTTCTGTCTCCTGTATATAGATATACGATAAAACACTCTTGCTGCTCGCCTTACCCCTGTCTCAGTATTGGCTTTTGCGTCAGGTGGCTCAGACTTGCGTTTTGCAGTAACAATATAAAAAGAGCAGATTCGGAACAGAAGCAAGAAAGCACAGACAGGGGAAGATGGATGCCAAGCCACATGAAGATTGCCAAGGAACCAAGGAAAAGAAGCTAAAAAGAGACAAGGACCTACCCCTAGAACCGACAGGGAGAGAAAGCCTTCCCCTAGAGCCAGTGCCCTGACTTCAGTCTTCCAGACTCCTAAACTATGAAAAAATAAATTTCTGTTTGTTAAAGCCGTATTTGTGATATTTCTGTTATAGTAGCACTAGCAAACTAAAACACTAGGATTTAAAAGACTATTCTACCATCTCCTTTCTGCCACCACTGCACTGAGATTGTTCTTGCTGAATCCATCCTTGACCTATTTGCCAGGCAATTTTATAATTTCCTATCCTCATCCTACTTCACTCTTCCGAATCATTTAGAACTATGCAGGTTCTAGAACCCACACTCAGTGGGAGGAGATTATACAAGGCGTGTACACCAGGAGTGGGAGTCTTGGGAGTCCTATGTTAGAATTCTGCCTATCACCACAACTTTTTCAAAACTGCCTCCAGGGAGGGGCAGACCAGATGGCCCAGGCAGGCTGACTCCTTCCCATCCCTAGACCCTCCAGGTGTCCTGCCTCTTGGGACTCCTGTTTTCACCTGACCATCTTACCACTCTCTTGAAAGCCTGAATATTGTTTCAGGCCTCCATCATACGAAAAAAATTGTTGTTGTTAGGTGATGTCAAGTCAGTTCCGACTCATAGCAACCCCTATGTACAACAGAACGAAATCACCCAGTCCTGTGCCAGCCTCACAATCATTGTTATGTTTGAGCCCATTGTTGCAGCCACTGTGTCAATCCATCTCATTGAGGGTCTTCCTCTTTTTTGGTGACCCTCTACTTTACCAAGCATGATGTCCTTTTCCAGGGATTGGTCCCTCCTGATGACATGTCTAAAGCATGTGAGATTAAGTCTCGCCACCCTCACTTATAAAGAGCATTCTGGCTGTACTTCTTCCAAGACAGATTCATTCTTCTGGTCCATACAAAACCCAAACCTACTGCCACTGAGTCCATTCCAACTCAGAGTGGCCCTATAGGACAGAGTAGAACTGCCTCATAGGGTTTCCAAGGAGTGGCTGGTGGATTTGAACGCTGACCTTTTGGTTAGCAGTCTGAGCTCTTAACCACTGCACCACCAGTTCATCTGGCAGTCCATGGTATATTCAATATTCTTTGCCAACACCATAATTCAAAGACATCAATTCTTCTTCAGTCTTCTTTATTCATTGTCCAGCTTTCCCATGCATATGAGGCAATTGAAAATACCATGGCTTGGGTCAGGCGCACCTTAGTCCTCAAAGTGGCATCTTTGCTTTTCAACACTTTAAAGAGGTCTTTTGCAGCAAATTTGCCAATGCAATGCATTGTTTGATTTCTTGGCTTCTGCTTCCATGGGGGTTGATTGTGAATCCAAGTAAAATGAAATCTTTGACAACTTCAATCTTTTCTCCATTTATCATGATGTTGCTTATTGGTCAAGTTGTGAGGATTTTTGTTTGCTTTATGTTGAGGTACAATCCATACTGAAGGCTGTGGTCTTTGATCTTCATCAGTAAGTGCTTCGAGTCCTCTTCACTTTCAGCGAGCAAGATTTTGTCATTTGCATATCACAGGTTACAAAATCCTACCTCTTACGGGGATTTCTCCTACTAGGCTGGTGTCTAAAAACTGTGTGTGTGTGTATAACTGTGATACATGCAAATGTAAATGATAAAAAATTCAAACAGTTTGAAAAAATACACAATGAAAAATATATCCCTCCCCCAGTTTTTCTCCCCAGAATTTAATGAATATTATCAGTTCCGTTTCTTGGGTCTCCTGGCAGATAGTCTACACATTTACAAGCATGTTTTTCCACAAATTTTAGCATGTTTCTTCTGCACTTTGCTTTTTTTCATAGTGTATCCTGAAGATCTTTCTACATAGATCTAAATTGTTCATTTTAATTGTAGTTGCTTGTCTCCAACCTGGGGGCATTGGTGGTTCCTTCACTTCCATCCAGGAGACCCAGGTTTGAGTCCCACTAATGCACCTCATACACAGGGAGGAGCTTCCAAACTAAGATGGACTAGGAAGAAAGGCCTGGCTAACAACAACTACTTGACTCCAGGAATAGGAAAGAGGAAGAGAAGTCCACATCAACTTTTCTTGGTTCTGTCACTAATGAAGAGGCTTCCAGCTGCTGTCCATGTCGACCCCATGTGTACCAGAGTAGAACTGTGAGTCACAGGATTTTCCATGGCTGATTTTTCAGAAGTAGATCACCAGGCCTTTCTTCCGAGGTGTGTCTGGGTGAACTTGAACCTCCAACCTTTTGGTTACCAGCCAAGCCTGTTAACTGTTTGCACCATCCAGGGACTCTCAAGTTAGGGGCAAATGGGAAAAGAAGCTAAGTACGGTAGGGCTCCTCTCTCCCAGACGAAGCATAGCAGCTGATTCATTTTCCCAGGTTGTCAGGGAGTGCCTATCAACCATGCAGTGAGATCCTGCTGAGCTGAGGTATCCAGAGTCCGATTGGTCTGAGTTCAGCAGGGGAGAGTTAGGTAAGTGTGTGTCAGTGGCTGCTTTGGATTCCTAGTGACTACAACACAAGTACCAGCAATCAACACAAACAAGCAACTACTTTGTGATGTGATTGCATTACCACAAAATTGGTTTCTTCTATTTTTTATTTTAAATGAAATACAGTAGGCTTTCAGGTTTATCAGCCTAACTCTGGGCTAGTGAAATGTATCTGA